TTCTTACGTTACGATTATTTTTTCAAGAATTTGATTTTGGATTTTGTGAATTTGATCCTGATTTTTCAAAATGAGGTCTAACCGTTGTGCAGGTCCTCATCATATCGTACGCATTAGAATTTCAGAAGTAAGGCACTGTACATGTATCTCTGACTAGAAATGAAAGAATATTATAAGAATTCCACTAAACTTCCGAATATGATGAATGAACTTCAATGAAGTCAGTCTAGAATGATTTGAACATTTAATGTACCCAAGATCTGGCTATAGCCTCTTTTGAGCTTGCATAGATGATTACTTCAAACATGTACAGTATCGCTTCGAAGTACATTATTTATGCAGTCTACATGTACAGCAATGATGTAACGTCTATGTTTGTGTGCTCTACTGTTGTGTATCTCGATTCCAGGACCATAACACACAGACCACATTTTATCTGAACGACCATGCAGTGAGTACACATGGTGATGAACTGCTGGGATGGACTGCTGGGATGGACCGCTGAGGATAAGGGGACATGATGCTATACATCATAATCTTTTTGCTGTCCTTACTCATTGGATTGAGTACAAGAATCTCTATACAATATGGAGCTCTGGGACATCTGTCAGTCAAATTACTGTGTGCTGCATTGTATTTCATCTTTATATCTGTCTAAGAAGTTGGGAGTATGTCTGTCTGCTGGATATCGGTTTTGGGATTAGCAAGAATATACAACATTCAGGTAATAATATTTGTGTGCAAGCGATCAAGATTCCTCTGGCGATTTCCATAGCACATACATGTATGACATAGCTAGAGCCTGAATGACAGTGAAATTCAGATCATTGTTGACAATGTGCCTATGAAAAGTCATGTCATTGTCAGGTTATCGTAATCTTATATAAATATCAGTGATACTTTTTGCACTTTCAATGATTCTGCAAAGTGTATTCCACTGACCCTTTAGGCTTTGGGTAATACACTTTGCTAGAATCATTGAAAGATGAACAAGTATTCTTAAATGAAACTGTACGAAATATTTGTATAATATCATACTTGTCAAATTATCATTTGGTTATATTATAATTAAAACCTTATTTCAATTTCTCATAGTACATTGCATGTACTAGATTAGTATGTTTCAACTTTTAACATCTTTTAAAACTTTGTTGATTGAAAAAATGTGCAATTAAATAGACTAAGGATGACAATGTTATTCTGCTTTTATAATTTCAAATAGCCTTGTAGTCAAAATGTAGATATAAAATTTCTCTTCTATATATTTCCAGGCCAATGGGGTACTTGCTGACTGGACCCAATCAAGAGAGACATATTTCGAGGAATGCAGAGCAACAATGATTAATTTATAATTGACCTAGGAAAATAGGATTATGTATCCACATAATATACAAATCTAGATACCCTGTTCTGATTATTGTTGCTTCAGAATAGCTGTAAATAGTATCGTTGACAACAAATATCCAGATGTATTGAGAAACAATTAATGTTGAGAGGGGACACTGAAGATGGAATATACATTTAAATTCAACTTAGCAAGAATTTGGTGAGTCTTTCATTGACCAAAAACACTAACACTGTTCTTTGACAGTTAAAAGTGTCAAGGCATAAACTGAAAAAGTCTGATGTCACTCAAGTCTTTTAATCAGAAAGGAGTGACTAAATTCAATTACTGGCAGATAGAGTAATCCACTAAATATTTATGGTAAACTCATTGAAACATGAATAGATATTCATTGAAATATGAATAGAATATTCATTGAAATATGAATAGAATATTGGCAATCGCCATTATATTTAAATTAGCTGGGCATAAGATAATTAAAGGACCAGGTAAAGTATGGCAAGTGATTTTAGACAATCATATTCTTATGAGTACTTTCTCGATTTAGATATGACTTTTCTCATTAACACAATATGTTATCTTTCAAGAAAATTCTCAAGGATAATAAAAATATCAATTGAACAATTCAAAAATTTATGAATAGCAACCCCATGTCAACATTTCTTTCAAAATATTGAGGCTATTTGCTCACAAAGAGGATCTTCTTTTTTATTTTAATTGCATGAAAAGATTATTCTAAACCTCTTCATATGTAGAATGGTATTGAAAGTCTAGTTTTGAAGATTTTTGATGACCAGAATTATGCTGAAAACAATGGATCGAATGAGTTTTCCTTATTGGAAAAAACATTGAATATGTGGTTTTTAACTTACTCACATTTCAATATCCATCCCCTTTTCAGAAGATATGGTGAACTTTTTGAACACATTTCTCTTAAACCAGTCATCAAAAAATTCTGAAAATATTACGCATCATCAATTTAATGGTCATTATTTTGGATGGTAACATTATAATTTGAAAAATATGTATGTATATACTTTTCTCTATATTGTTTTAGAAAACACATCAGACACTTCTTTTGTTCTTGGTATCATATGTTCGGAATGAAATGAAGTTGACAAAACAGTTATATAAATATATAAATATTTTTGCATTAAATTGTTGACAATCAGTCAACATTACATAAAGGACTGTGTTTTTACAGAATGTTTTCAGTAAATGGTTTAAGAAAAAAACATTGTTGATTCATTTCACCATATCGATACCTATACTTTAGAAAATTTAATTTTGATAATTATTAGAAAATAAGCCTAACACTAAAAAAGTGAGAGGGTGGGGTGGTAATCCATAATTTTTCAGAGAGTTGATTGGTATTTTTAATAACATGGGGACTTTACTTGACAGAAAACTTATTGTTTAATAAAAGAAAACATGGAAACCACTGTATTTATGGTCATAAAGTACTCACTCATGTTGAAAGATATGATTGTTTAAAATAACTTGCCCTACTGTACTTGGTTCTTATTAGCCATCAGCCGGCAGCAGGTCATGAATACCAATATTTCTCTGTTTTTTTTTAAAAAAATTAACAAGTTACAATTTTCATGTTTTACTAAACCAAGGAATATGTAGCTAGCTGCATAGACAAAGGACCAAACATGGTCCATGGATGTGCAGGAGCTAATACATTGTATTAAACACCTGTTATAACTTACTGCTTACTAGTATGTTAAATAAAAAATAAATTACATTGACAATTTATTTTGGAATTATCTAGAAATTGAAATGAAATCTTGTAAACAGGCATGGAAAATAATGTTCAGTTTTTAAAAAAATCTACTGGTATTGCAATAGCATACTGTATGGAATTTCCATTTCCTATTTACCATTTTGTAATATAATTTTTCTTAGTGGAGATGAAATGATAAGTAAAATTTAATCAGGAATTAATACCAAACCAAAATGCAAAAGTGTCTATAATACAACACCCAGGTGTTCTCACTGAAAGGAAGCAATGCATTCTCCATTATGATCTCCCCATGAGGAAGTGTAGAGGCATAGATTCCAAACCAGGAAGTATTTTTGTGTCTGTCAAAATCCATTTGCATCGTACACATCCCTACATCTTATCCAAATATGTTATTAATTAATGAAACATAACAGTATAATCTTTGGATTTACAAAGTTGTATGGTGTTTAATAAGTGTAATAAGTTGCTTTTGAAGCATTTTTCTATAGCCATTTTGTAGGAAAAAAAAATGATGAAAAATGTATAAACTTTTAATTTGAAGTGTGACGTGAATCGATTGCAAACTTCATATTTGGACATCTGATGTGATATACCATTTGTGTCATACTGTCAAATTATTTAATTTGCAATCAATTCAGGTCATAGTGTATTTTAGGTATTTTTGTGAAAATCAATAGAAACCAATGGCCTCCATTGGAATCTCCATTGGAATCTGATGGTATCCACATGTTAAGTCTATGGAGCACATCCAATGTCAATACACACTTACTGAACTTAATGACCTCAACCTCAGCCCATGTGGGTCCAAATACTTAAATATTTTCCAAAGTATTATGTGACATTGTATTCTTTATGTTACACCTAAAATGATTCATTTTGTTCATGGGAAAATCATAAAGGAGAGTGCACTAGACCCTTTGATGGTACACCTTTAGAATGGGGTTTTATTAGTAACAACATAAAATTCCTATTAGGTGGCCTTTAATTAAAAAGATGATTTTGAGACTGACCCCTCAAATATAATATTGCACCCCACTACTTTAAATGGAAAGGTACAGTGAGTGCTTTTGTCAGCCACAGGTCAAAATGACCTAGGCAGTAATAAACTACAACAACATGTTATGTACAGTACATGTATATAGAAGTCCATGTACTCCTATAGACATTATATAGACTAAGGGGCTCTAATAGACAGCCCTTTCTGGTCGGCCAGTTATCTTCTCCCGGCCGGATATCCTCCTGGTATAGTAACAGTTCTTTGAAAAGGAATTGTGAATGACGGTAAATGCCAGAGAGAGAGAGTGTAGTTTGTCTAAAAACTTGACAGATAGAATGCATTCAGAATTCGATTTCATCTATAGATGTCATGCCGTCCGGTCAAAACATGCAAAGGTCAAACTGAGTTCAGAGTTTTAATGGCGGTAGGTTTGGACTGATCGTTTTTAACCACTTGATCATGTCTGTTTTCTCAACTTATATTTAATCGAATGAGTTATTTTATACAAGGGACATATGAAGAGATATATATGCTCCGTCGAGGGTAGTAATCAATAATGTATTTTACGTTTTTGCTTAGTAATTGCGACTTGAAAAGGTGTTTTCAACAAAAAGTTGAAAATCTGACAAACTTCTGTTCGCCACGACAGACGTGCGTGATTGTTTCAATATTAGCAGCGTAGATCAGGTATCTTAAGCTCAACGATTCTGTGTAATTTCAGGAATTATGATCATACATTTTGCGCGTTACAAGCAATTCAATTTTCGAAATGAGAGATCTCAGAAATTTCTGACGAAGAAAATTTTTGTTGAACGTCAGCGGATTAATATATCGTGACGTCACGGATTTTAATGCTAACAATGGACTTGAGGGGCTTGCTGCCCGGCTGTTGAACAAAAATGTAATACTTCAGATTTTAAGTAGCTTATTAATTCCAAAAGATTTGGCTACATTAAAAGGTATAAATGAACTCAGACTTATATTGCACTATGTATATTCCCTTCCTTTCTATCCCTATGGCTTTCATTCCATATATATATTTCCATATATGGGTTTAGGCTATGCCAAACTGTCAATGAAAAGACCTTGAGGCTATTTAACCCTCAGCTGGTGCAGGTTCAACAGCTCCTGGTGCAGGTTCTTCAGTTCTTGGTGCTTGTTCTTCAGTTCCTGGTATATTTTCTTCAGTTGCTGGTGCTGGTTCTTCAGCTGTTGGTGCTGGTTCTTGATCTGCTGGTGTTGGTTCTTCAGCAGATGGTGCTGGTTCTTGATCTGCTGGTGTTTGTTCTTCAGCTGCTTGTGCTGGGTCTTCAGCAGATTGTGCTGGTTCTTCAGCTACTGGTGCTGGTTCTTCAGCTGCTGGTGCTGGCTCTTCAGCAGATGATGCTGGTTCTTCAGCTGCTGGTGCTGGCTCTTTAGCAGATGGTGCTAGTTCTTTAACTGCAGGTGCTGGTTCTTCAGCTGCTGGTGCTTGTTCAGCAGATGGTGCTGGTTCTTCAGCTGCTGGTGCTTGTTCTTCAGCAGATGGTGCTGGTTCTTCAGCAGCTGGTGCTGGTTCTTCAGCTGCTGGTGCTGGTTCTTCAGCAGATGGTGCTGGTTCTTCAGCAGATGGTGCTGGTTCTTCAGCTGCTGGTGCTGGTTCTTCAGAAGATGGTGCTGGTTCTTCAACTGCTGGTGTTGGTTCTTCAGCTGCTGGTGCTGACTCTTCAGCAGATGGTGCTGGTTCTTCATCTGCTGGTGCTGGTTCTTCAGCAGATGGTGCTGACTCTTCAGCAGATGGTGCTGGTTCTTCAGCTGCTGGTGCTGGTTCTTCAGCAGATGGTGCTGGTTCTTCAGCAGATGGTGCTGGTTCTTCAACTGCTGGTGCTGGTTCTTCAGCTGCTGGTGCTGGCTCTTCAGCAGATGGTGCTGGTTCTACAGCTGCTGGTGCTGGCTCTTCAGCAGATGGTGCTGGTTCTTCAACTGCTGGTGCTGGTTCTTCAGCTGCTTGTGCTGGTTCAGCAGATGGTAATGGTTCTTCAGCTGCTGGTGCTGGTTCTTCAGCAGCTGGTGCTGGTTCTTGATCTTCAACTGCTGGTGCTGGTTCTTCAGCTGCTGGTGCTGACCCTTCAGCAGATGGTGCTGGTTTGTCAACTACTGGTGTTGGTTCTTCAGCTTCTGGTGCTGGCTCTTCAGCAGATGGTGCTGGTTCTTCAGCAGCTGGTACTGGTTCTTCAGCTGCTGGTGCTGGTTCTTCAGCAGATGGTGCTGACTCTTCAGCAGATGGTGCTGGTTCTTCAGCTGCTGGTGCTGGTTCTTCAGCAGATGGTGCTGGTTCTTCAACTGCTGGTGCTGGTTCTTCAGCTGCTGGTGCTGGCTCTTCAGCAGATGGTGCTGGTTCTACAGCTGCTGGTGCTGGCTCTTCAGCAGATGGTGCTGGTTCTTCAGCTGCTGATGCTGGCTCTTCAGCTGCTGGCTGTTGTTCCTGAGCTGTTGGTGCTGCTCCTTCAATTGCTAGTACAGGTTCTTTAGTTTCTTGTACAATTTCTTCTCCCATTGATGACTTAGTTTGTACAGCCTCCTCAGTAGGTGTAGTGGCTACAACTGGCACAATTGTTTCATTTACAACAGGTGCAGGTTCCTTTGGTTCATCAGTTGAATCTCCAAATTGTACATCAACAACCTTAGGCACAATTGATCTCCTGGCTTGGAATCCTCTAAAGTTAGCCTGTACTTTTGTGGCTGCTTTGTTGGCAGCCTCTGGATCACTTGCCAAATCAGCAAGGAAATCATCGAACTCTTCATCTTGAGCTTTAGGTTTAGGTTCTGCCTCTTTGATGTTTGTTGTTTCTTCTGAGGCAGAATCTACTTGTAGTTCTTCAGGTGGCCAATCTTTCTGTTCATTAGCATGCGATTCATCAATCACAGGTGTAGCACATTGAACTCGTACTTCAGAAACAACTATATTCCCTGCCAGTGATGCTGGTGCACTTGCGTTAGGCGTCTCCTGAGGTGAGTCCTCAATAGTAGCATTCTTTAATGACGTAGGAGCACTTGCTGTCTCCGTGGCAGTCATCGGCTCCATTAGAGCCTCAGCTACAGTTGTCGAAGCTACAGGAACATCTCCCATTAGTTGATCTGAAAATACAATTCAATCTTTTCAGTTTTATTTTGTTTTGAAAATTACACAGATAAGATACACAACCTGAATCTTAAAGAGGGGTTATAAAGTCAAATTCCTGTCAAAGCATTCTCCAAAAATTTCATTCATATGAGTCACATGATCTACTTTAATATTTTATTTAAATATTTCAAGTTCCTGAGTCTGATCATCCCTTATGTTTATGGACAATCTATACATAATAATGGGCAAAATGGCAATGAAAGTCACTTCCTAAATTTCACTCGAATAACCGTTACAAAAAAGCTATGATTTAATAATCCAGGTTTTATCTACAACATCCAGACATCACAAAAATTATTTAGAGATTTTATATTTGCAGTTAAAAATCCATAGATCTGTTTAATAACTTTTTAACATTGACACAAAGTAAGGCCAGGACAAAAACCTGGTAGAATGTAACATAATAATAACGTGAAACTTGATAAGCTCCCCAAGATGATTTGTTTGTTGAGCAGAATATATTATTTGAAAAAATCTGCTGGGTTTTCCTTTTACTAAAAATGCAAATTGACAGTGACAAAATGAAAGAAAACCCATAAAATCTTGAAAACAAAATGAAACATTTTGACCTTGGAGGTTTTTAGATGACTAGATATGTACTGCTAAACAAACAAGTAATTTATAAGGGCGACCAGAAAGAAGAATATTTTTTCTTGGATTAAAATTCAAACTGGTTCTTCAGCTAATTCCAAGATTTAAACTTACACTCCGTCATTTCTCGTAAAGTCCTTCTGTCAAGTTCATCCTCCAATACCCTTGCTGCCTGCTTGTAGTAGTTCTCTGACTTTGAGTGCACTAGGCCACGACACACCATCTCCAGTACATCTTGGAATCCAGGTGGAAGGGATAGTATCTTGCCCCAGTTACGATCTTTCTTTTGGGCAGCCATGATGTCTGAAGATGCTGGCAGGGTGCAGCTGGCCCAAGTACCAAAGTTTGCTGTTGCTGTTTGATTCCAAAACTGAACTCTACTTATGATGTCACAAACGTTTATTCTGTCATTAGAGATAACATGTAACTTGACAACCGTTGCTATTTAAATATAGATATTTTGAGATATTATGACATTACACACCTCAGAATCAACTTCTCTATGACATCACAGAGAGACCAGGAGAAAGATTTATGATGTCACAGTATGGTTGCCATGGTGTTAAGTATAAGTATAGCTATATTTCCTATTACTACTCTAAATACTTTATTGATCTATAGTCAATTCTGTCCCCACAGTGTTGGCCACAATAATTCATTCAATACCGGTCAAGAGCAATTATGTAGAAATGAGTTTCTCTTCTCATTTACTTTCCAGTAGAATTACAATGAATGAACAAGCTCAATGTATGTTGAAATAAAGATGGTGTAACCTTGATTAATTTTTATATAAATTCATCTGGACATTCATCATTATTGAATCCGAAAAGTAACTATACCGCTCTCTGCATGCTTACTATTTGCTAATGCTGTTACTATAAATATCTGAACTTGTATGCCTTACAAATAGGCTTAGAGCGCCTACTACTGCATATTATAAATCTATCGGTCATGAACCTGGTCAGACAATGTATAAATAATCCGATTTTTCGTATTTTTGAATAATTAATTTTTGATACTTTTTTTTAGATGATAACCGATTAATCATCACAGTAAGAGACTAGTCTTTAATTAATTTGATTCACTGTCATTCAACTCTATATAATGAAATAAAATATAAAATGGTATTGTCATTTTGGATTGTGGTATTGATTTCTAAAGGGTGAGAGAGGGGAATGTTGGATGTTGGTTTTTCTTATGACTAGTTTTGGTCTTAATTGCCTTTTCTTACTATGTTTTGTAATACTATTTGATATTTCCCCGGAATATCAACGCAAAATCCTGATTTCAATATGTTCTGTTACATTGGATCACACATTACATTTTAGGATTTTTATTACCTGTTACTGTCACCTAATTCTTAGATGTGAAGAAATGCATTTCAAAACTTCTGATGCCTTTATAGCCAGCAAGCCCCTAAATGATTCTCTGAAATTTTCTACTGCTGTACAAAACAATTCTTTGCACTTTTTGTAATTTGTGTACCAACAGGTTAGGTATATCTTTCGTTCTTTCGAAGCTATACTGGACATGGATAATCATGTGCGATAAATCCAGGAACCTCTGTGTCCTTCTATGGTGCAATGATTGTAGACATCTAACTCTATACCACAGCATTTTGTATAATTGCGGACGACTTAATGAAACACACTGAAGAACTTAAACAAGAGTAAATAATACTTATCAGATATACAGGGATCATATCTAGAATATGCTCCAGCGCTTGGCTATAGACTGGTCCATAGCAAATTAGGTGATATAAGTTATGATCTTGCTTGACATTCTTCCAAATTAGTGATTGCATGATAAACACGTTATACATCCCCATGGGTGAAGACTGACATTTAAGTCAGACTAAATTAATTTAACCCTCAGTTCAAGGTCCCATTGAAATATGGAGAAATGATTATATACCTGATAGGTTACTGAACGATTTAGAGAGAGCTGGTGAAGAGTGTGCAGAACTGACCCCTCCAATGGTAGATCCAGTCCCCCTCCTTGGGTAGGCCAAGAAAAAAAATTGGGCCAATATATTTTGTAAGGCCTCAATTAAAAATAGGCCTTAGATTTTCAAAATTTTATTTATTTTCAAAATTTATGTTTTGAAATGTGACCCCCTCCCTTGTTAGCTTCTGGATTCCCTGTTGCCCTCTCACCCATCTCGGTTAAAAACTAGTTAACTGTTTAAGATATAGCAAATATAAAGTGAACAACTTTAACTAAAATAAGTAAGAAAATTAACACAAGGGTCAGATCCAGCATGTATATTGTCTCAATAAGCAAAATCTACTGGGAGCTACAGCATAACAACAGAGTTACGGAAAGAGTTGGAATAGTTTCCTTTCATCAAATTACTTAACGATCTTCTCTTAGAACTGAGACAAATCAATTATTGCACTATTACTATTATCCTTAACTATACTATGAACCTGATGTCATACGAAAAGAGACATGCCAATTTTAGAATTCTCCAGGACATGGAGGAGCCAAACCTGTGTATACTGAAACAAGAAATTAGTTCTCAGTCTGTCAGTTTCAAATGAATAAAGTGTTTTGGTAAATTGACATCCTTCAAAGAATGTTAATGAATTGGTCTTGTCTCCAAAGCTAATGGTCTGTGAAATCTCACTGGATTTCAAATTTAAGAGAAATCCATGCCTCCATCACTCATCCTAAAAGGGACTGGGTCATTCTGAAATGTAATAAATTGTTTTTGTACAATACTCAGGGTTCTCGCTAGGCTCTTATAACATGGTGCTGCACCATTTCAACCCTGATTGCACCATTCTCTTTTGCTATTAGCAAATACTGCCATGTTCCCTCGTGTGTAAAAGCAGATGCTAATTGGCAGTAAATTGAATGTTATCGAATAAATAAACAAAATTGAGATGCAAAGGAATTTTTTTCCAAGTTATAAAAATTCACAGTCGAGAACCCTGATACTGATAGTAACAATATACTGACACGGTTCCTCATATATTATCTAAGGATATCCCATATCCTAACCTTCTAGACCATGAATCTGATATCTAGTCTCAGATATACCACTTACCTTCAAATAAAAATATCTCGTTCCATCTTGGATTTAAACATTTTCGTTTCACTTTGGTTTCTACTTTATTTTTCCTGTCTGGAAGAAGCAGTATTTTTACATATGGGTCACTTGTCCCGGACCAATCTTTTGCGGGAAGTCTTTCTGCACTGAGTATCTTCAGTGACAAAGTCTGGGCACTATAATCGTAGTTTACTTGGAATTTAAGTCTGCCTAATGTAGTAGGTGCAGCTGAGTTAAAGGGACTCTCAATGTCTAAATGGGCAGATGCTGCAGCACCATGACTGTTTGTGTTACTGTATGAAGATTCAGATTTTGTACCTAGTATCCCTGATAGAAATCCTTGATCACTCTCCTGGCTCTGGAAATATAGAAGACATTATGATGAGTTAAAGGGACTTAAAAGAGTTAAAGGGACACAAGAAGTTCATGACAGATTTAAACATGATAAAGGAGCTAAAATCAAACTCAAAGGGACATATACCTAATCTTCTAGGGAGATACTCATGAAATATATACTATGGATTTATTATATCATTGCTAGAATTTGTATAAATGGATTAATTGCACCAGATGCAAGATAGTCTTGATTTACATCATTAAATATTCAAAATTTAGTCAAAGTGATTTAATATTTGAAATGTACAACTTTAACAATTTAATATTCTTTAAAAAAGTGACTTCAAGGTCGGGTTGATTCCCCATAAGTTAAAATATCACAAAAAGTGAAACATGTTTTTGTATTAGACAGAAAATATTTTCTTTCACTTGACATATTTTCAGAAATTTGATTTTTACATGTAAACATAAAAAAGTAATATGAAAATTGATCCGCTAAATCTGAATTTAAGAGCATTTTTACCTTTATCAACAATGGGCTGCCATGTTATCTGACCCAAATTAGCCACCTGGTGGTGAAACTGGTAACTACAGTACCTCATGCCACCTGGGTTATTGGTTATGGAATACTAATATCTTGACTCATCTAACTACATAATATTCATATTTGTATGATAAACAATATAATACTGCAGAATGCTCTAACTACGCCAGAGCTGCACCTGTTAAATGAGGTACTAATTGCACAAAACTAAATGCACAAAAACTATAAGAAGTAAATCACTCTATTAAGGTGAAAGTGAGTTAGAGTGACTCACTTTCTTTTATAAGCTGAACTTTACATGAAGTATAACCTGTTCAAATTTGGAAGATTCAATTAATCAGGCTAGTATTTGTCACAATCATGTTTAATATAATTTTTACATTTTGAAATTATTTTGAATCTTTCTTGTTCAACTCACAAATTCTCTGTTCTTTATAGGTTGGTTAATGTAATGCTGAGCTTTGTAATTAAACATCAATTAAGGTTGGAAATAATTATTAAAAGTTTTAATAAATTGCAGAAGTCATTTAACTCCCTCTGACCAATGAAGTACCTTTACTTGCCAAAATTCCCCATAAAACAAGAGCCCGATATTATAGATACATGAATATTAATAGGAAATTTTACCCCTTGGAAAAGCATAACACGTGTTACAGATGTCAGATACCTATGTTGACATCGATATAGACACCAACACAGAATACCATTCTCAAAAAATGGTGGCTAATATCTTCATCACCAAGCTTAACTCAAGAAAAAAAGGAACATTCCAGAATCTAGTGCACGGTGATAGTTCACCAACAATACTTGACATGTGGTTATTGATCGACATTCAAAATATTCACCCTCATTAAAATAGTCGAACATAAAAACAATGAATAAAACATCATGTCAAATGAACCTCATCAAATATGTATAAACATGTCTGAAGCAATAGGTCAAGATGTACTGAGGCCAATTATTTTGTCATACTTTAAAAGCCCTCAGCCCACATTCAAAATGTCTCTCTGATCATTGAATATAGGTAATACCTCAGGAGGGATTGTATATTAGCTTTATCCAGAGTTAATATCCCTGGGATTTGAGTATTATGTAAGAGCTTAAAGAGTAAATACCACATTGGTACCATGGACCAGAAAAAACTCTATATTTGCATGTTTCTTAATTATCTTGTTCTTTATAGCATACAAATACTGGAAGGCAGACCAAGGGATACTCTTCTTGAAATGGGCATACATGCAACATGACGAGCACATACCACAGCTTTTATACTAAATATCGACCACTAACCAAATTATACTTATGCATACTATACATACTTGTATATATAATTCAGACATTAACCTAAATTGGGAACAAACCCAGAACCAACAAAGGTATATGGTAAACTGGAAAGATTAAAATAATATTATTCTGAAACATCTCTCTCCAATTTCAATAAATAAGATATGTCTCAAACATGGGTAAAGAGCAAATCAAGTTTTATTCATTGTTTTTTACCATCAGTCTCTTCTTCTTCATGTACTGTATTATTAAGTCTGGTCTATTTCATTTCTATATGATTTAGAGGATGAACTACTATCAGTTTAATATTTTCCTTACTTAATTCACTGTACATATTTTAATTTCTATCTTTTCGATTTCGATTTGAATAAAAATCGGAAGACATAATTTCCTGATGAAATGCACATTTTATTTTTTTTGCATTTTGATGAAGGTATAGGGTTGCGGCAATGCAGTGATTACCCTAATTCTTTGAAGCATGACTCAAATGCATCATGTTATTTAACGAACCCTCTTATCCTCCTTATTATGACATAAGAACTCTTCCAAGTATTGAATTGTATTAATGAGTGAAGACAAGAAGGTCTCAAAAGTGACACTACAAGCTGATTTTTTGTTTTGCTGCAGTCATTCCTTATTAAGGATTCTTAAATCAGTTTTTCTTAAGAAAAGCAATAAGAGATCAGAACTAATAGGATTGGAATAGATTACTTAGTAAAAATATTTAATTTGGAATTTGGAATCTCTGTAACAGGGTCAATCTTGTGAATCAGCTTTGGTTTGCTATGAGCAATAAATATTTGATTTAATTCCTTGTGCAAGGAACAGTGTTACCATTTGTAAAATTACAAATGCACCAATTTCCCATAAAATATATATCAAGAGACAAAACATTGATTTTAAACTAAACAATAAGCATTTAACTGATCTTCGTTTTCTCAGAACAATACTCAAAAATTGTGATACCAAGATCATAGAGTCTAAAATGTTATAACATCATCTCTAAAGATAACCTAACCCTGGGGGTTTAGGTCTGTATATCCAATTTGTCACTAGTTTTTAGTAAAATTACCAGGAGCTTCATTTTATAGATCCCAGAGTCTTCCAATGATCGTCAACTCTAAAATGGTTTAAAGTGGCAGTATTTTGAAATTTCAAATCATTAACTGAAATTATCTGATGCAGTTTATATATATCTGACCAAGCTAATTCAGTCTGACATTACTACTTTCTCAAAAACAGAACAATTTTCTGTGATTTTTAAACAATTAAGATTATTCATTTCCTATGCATTTCTAATCCTTCATTCCTTTATTTGCCATTTAAATCATTTGCCATTGAATAAAAAACAGGTTTCAGAACCAAAATAGAACTTGCATGTACTAGAAATCCCTTACAAGACATATACGTGAATGAATAAAAGGTTATTCCCACATCTTACCTTTTCTGTTAGACAGCTTTTAGCCTTTACTTGATTCATGGCTTCTTAAGATAGATAACAATTTCCTGTCTCATAGCATATATACATGGCATTTCGACAGACTTAGAAATCAATATAAACTTAATTACAATGATAACACAATATTCTGTCTTCCAATTGCATTTATTCAAGCAAAACATCAGCTATTGTGAGACCATTTAATCTTATTTTGTGATGACCTACTTCTGGTCTTCTTATTGGATTCTTGAAACATCAGAACGTATCTTCTAATTATTGACACATTTGAAAGTCACAATCATTTTGAATTTGAACAGAACATCTGAAGATTCAGGTTCTTTTCAATTTATTAGATATATGAGGGTTGCCCCAGAAGTAATGCACTATATACTTCTGGGACAACCCTCGTACAGTAAAAACTGGAACACATCTATAACTTACAAGTGAAAGTCCTGTGGCCCATTGACTCCATGTTAATTAACCTCTGTAAGTAGAACACCTCATAAGTAGAACACTTTTTTGTGATCGGAAAGGTGTTCCGCTTATACAGGTTCTACTGTACACATATTTACAGGTGTGTAAACATTAAAAATTTAATCTAATTAATCTAAATCATGTACATGATCAATGGTCAATGGTACGATATTTTATGGTCATATTAACGATTCAATTTGGGTCTACCATAACACCTACATGTTCACTATCAAGGGCCAATGGTCAATGAACTGTTAAGCATGTACATCTACAATGAGTACTTAATCAGCATTAACTACTATCATAGATTGGATCGATGTCAATGCCTAAGAGATTATTCAATGTCAAAAATACTAGAATTTAAAAAGAATGTCTAATCTTATTCCAGTTCAGTAGAATTTAGAATGTTAAGTAAATAGTTCTTTCTTTGTTAGGTTGACAAGTTTGGCCATTGAGTCATGGTGTTGTTTTGAACAGGAAAAAAGTTAAGCCCAAAGCAGAAAACAGGATAAGGGGACTTTAATTAAGGTATTTTCTTCATCCTAAGTTCCGTACTAAGCCTTGTAATATAATTGTATAATGAAGATGACATTTCTCTCGGTTATATTACAATTTGATGATGTGGTTAGCTTAGAGACGGAGCCAAAGAGGATAATTAAAATGAATAAAATGCATTGATTCATTTTACAGATCAAGTTAACTTTTTGTCCATCAGCGTCAGGTTTTTTAATATTTGCTGCTGCCTCATTGAGTGTATCGCTTGTATGTTTTTAATTAATAGATACCAATTAGAGAACTAATTCATTGTTTGTTGAGAAAAATGTATGAGATGCTTAATTTGCTCTGATTAAATGATGGGGAATTTTTGAATCTGTAGCGAGTAAAATGTGTGCATGACTCATTTGAATGTAAACCAGAAGAGTTACTAGTTGCTATCTCTTCAAGCTCTAGTCTTTTCTTAGTGTATTGTATGCTGTTTAAAATTTATGATACTAATGTGAGGACTGATCAATGTCTGTAATGATTTATAAGATATAAGCATGAAATGTCCATACATGTCATCAATACTTGCTTAAATTAATTTTTTCACTTTTTTTATGTAAAGCTAAGTTCACACCAACAGCGCCTTGATGGCTCTTTAAAGCGGTTTGCAAAGCCCCTTTGCACGACGCTTTACAGCGGCATCAAAGCGACGTTGGTGTGAACTTAGCTTAATGGAGTCAGCATAATCATCAGAAGTAAAACCATGGGCTTCTCTTCATTGTGAGATAATTTTGGAGAA